CCTCCTGCCTTGGCAAGTGGCTTGCAGCGGCACCAGCTCGGTCCCCCTGGCTGCGGTGGATGGGATGCCAGGGCCAGCTCCTGGGCAGGCCCCCGTTACCCTCAGTGGCTGCAGGGCCACCTCCAAAATGGGTGGCGTGGTGGGACACATTGGTCTCCCCTTGCTCTTGCTGGGTGCTGTGGCAGTTGTGGGGCCACAGCCACTGGGGTGGGTTGGGGCTCTGCAGGCACGGTGCCACCACTGTGCCATCACCCCAGGGAGCTTGCTGCCTGGCTTTCTCCAAAAATAAAGAGTCCGAGCATGGTGCCGCAGGGAGCAGCTGACAGCTCCAGGCTCTTTCCATGCCAGCACGGGGCCTGGGGAAGGTGCTGCCTTCTCTCATGGCGCGGGAAAAATGAGCATCACCCCAAGGATAAGCCCTGTCATCCATTGTGCCTGGGGAGCCGGGGCTGTGCTGTGCCACCCGGGGTATACCGTGGGGGATAGGGCTCCTTCCTTGTGGCACCAGGACACGCTCAGCAGTGCCAGCCTGTGTCTGAGTGCAGCTCCCCTCCTTCCCCTCCGTCCCCCCGCCAGCCACAGACTGTTTTAGGGCTGGGCAGGGACAGGGAGGAAAGCAAACGGCTGGGCACAGGTTAGACCTGTTCCTGGGTAAACACGGGAGAGGCACTGATGCCACCACCATCGCTGTGCCAGGACGGGAGCAGGGACATGCAGAAGAATATGGCCCCCCAGCACAGTTTGGGGGGGCGGGGGCTGCACCCCAGCCTGGGTGTGTTTCTGCTGGTTGATGGCCCTGCAGGTCTGGGTGGGACAAGGCTGGTTTGGGGGACTTAACACTGGTTGGTGGAGCTAAAGCAGCACCCAGGGCCTTCCCCAAGTGCAGGGGCTAGGGGGTAGGTGCGTGGAGAGCACCTGCAGGCTGCCAGCAAGGTGCTCGCTTGCTTTCCTCACCCAACATCAGCTCACTTGCCTCACCCGGTCAGCCTGGGGTGATAAAGATCTCCCCCTTCCTGAGGCAGGGCAGCCCCACACAATGGTGTGAACCGTGGCCCTGCCGGGACGGGCATTGTTTAGAGGCAGAGGAACGGGAAAGAAAAATAATAATAATAATAATTAAACCCCCTAAATAGCTCGTGCAAAGCCAGGTCATGATATCATTGCTGCTCCCTCTGTGTGTGTGCTGCAGCAGCGGAGCACCATGGCTCGCTGCAGTGCTTTTGATGGGAGCAAAGTCCCCCTGCAGCACTGCACCGTCCCACAGTGCGCCCGTGGAGGTGAGTGGTGGGTCCCGACCCTCTGCTCCAGCTCCCCGCCCCATCTCCCCTGCAAACTCAGGGTGCCTGCAAGGGGTGTCTCCTGGGATGGGAGAGCTGCGGTGGGGCTGGCGGGCTTGGACACGTCTTGCAGGGAGGGGAGCAGAGCTGGCAGCACTGATTTACGGGCCAAACTGGAGCCAAGCACGTGCTTTTGGCTAATCACCGGCCTGGGGGGCACAGAATGATAAGCAGCAAGTAGAGACAAGAAGGGACATGGGTGTAAAGCCAGGAATAAGAGACAGAAGTCTGGTTCCTCAGGGCCTGGATTTAACGTCTCTGAAGCACTTGCAATGAGCCGTGCTGCTCAAAAGCCTGCGCCCCCTTGCCTCCGAGTGACCCCCTGCGCTCCACGGAGCAGGGGCTAGGCTGCCCGTCCAGAAGGAGGAAGCGAGAGGGGTCCTGGGGCCTCTGCTGTGTGTGGACCTGGCCTGAAGAGAGCTGTGGCTGAGGCTGGAGATGACACTGGGACCACCGATGTTTCAGGCTGAGCAGGAACAAAGACCAGAAGAAACCAGTCCCCGAAAGAGCCTCCCCCTCCTAGTAAATCCCCCTCCTAGTAAACCTCCGTGGTGGCTGAGCCTGCCACCCCTGGTAAGTTCACATCAGTAAGGCTGGAGCAGGAGGGCTTTTGTCAGCTGTGGAAGCCGGGTTCTGCACGGCCCACATTCTAGCCTTGCCTTTCATGGTAATCAGCCAACAGAGACAATCTGGGTCCTGAGAAATTTCCAGGGGCTGAATGAACACGAGCATGTCCTCACCGACCCCGGTGGGGTGTGGAAGGACACAACTTTGGTGGGCAGATAACTGCGCTGTTGCCCCCCCTGTCTCCCCAGCATGAGGGGAACAAGCCCTACCTGATCTCGGCGCTGCTGGCCGAGCCCTGTCACAGGGGCAGGAACAGGGTGAGGGGAGCGCTGGAGGACAGGGTGTGTGTGGGAATGGCCACAGAACAAAGCCGTGGCAGGGGGACGGGCGCAGCCATGGATCCGGCTCCTATTTTTAGTCCACTTCCTAAGGAAATACAGCACAGGGGCGCCTGCTCGCCCTGGGAGCTTTCCAGCCTCCAAGGAGGCGTTAAGGGGAGCTGCTAGCAGGGTCGGGGTCCGTATGGCTGGCCCCAGCCTTACCAGGAGCCCTCGCACCTCAACACGGTGTGGCCCAGGCCCAGTTCCAGGCCTGGGGCCCTATTGACAAGGCCCAGGCCCCGTTCCCTCAGGACAGGCCGAGGCCCAGGCCCGGTTCCCTGACGACAGGCCCAGCCCCCAGTCCC